GAAACACAGTAGACTTTAATAATATGCATTTATGGTGTAATTGCTACATTTTCGTGGCAATCCATGTTCATATTTACTGCAAACAATGCGCTGTTACTTTAATTCAGCGCTTGCAGCGCAGCAATAGATTCGGTGCCGAAACGATCTCTGCAGTGCTGCAGACGCACCGCTCCTGAACGCACTGCCGGACACCAACCGTGTGCAGTGAACGCTTTAATCCATTAACATGAGCGCGGAAAAAATACGCACCACGTATGCACTGCAAACAGAGTAATGTGAACCTGGCATTATGTGTGTGCTGCGAGTGCGAGTGCGCATGAGCGTACGGTCTCCGAGTACTGGAAAAAGTGGTATCGGTGCATCCCTAGTTTTAACCATAACAACACTAGTGGTTTGCTTGCATATACATGAAACTATAAAACAATACTCTGCATTGTTCACAAATCAAACTAATTAAAGCAGTGGCCATATTACTCTTATGTTGGGCTGTGGGAGCATTTGTTCACCACACAAGCCCTACGTTGGAATGTGTCAGCATGATGTAAGAGGTGGGTAACAAAGCTAGCATGAACTGAACTACTGGTCCAACAGGCTGAGTCGCACTACTGCAACCCTCTAGCAGCACTGATGCAAATCTGAGGTGAACACCAGCTTTCAGTGTACAGGCTCCAAGCTTGGGCATTCAAGCAGATAATTTCTTATAAACCACCAATGGAGTAAACCAATAGGGTTTGGGAGCTGAGAACCTGTTCTTATACGGAAACGGGTTCAAACTGAACTGTCATGACATTCGATTCAGTAAAGAGAACATTGTAAATATTCATACTAAACACTAAAATACTCCTGCAGTGTTTCATTTACTATATAGTTGCACCGCAACACTGCTACTGAATTGCAAACATACAGCAACCATTGTAATCCGATTCCCAATCGAATCCCTCTTATGGACCAATGCTTTACAGTGAATCAAAACTTCAGAATGAATCAGTAAGCTGACTCTCTTACTGAATCACAAGTGTTTTGTCACGTGTCACTCAAAATGAACCAATAATCTTATTAAAAAGCATTTGTAAACACGTTTTGATAGAATATTAAATTTTGTATTTGTTTTTATTTTATTTCTGGCTTGTAACTGTTCTGATAAAACCTGAGGGCTGTAAAAGCGAATACTATTCCTTATTTCCAAATATTTCAATATTAGTTGACATTGGTTAATGCATTACATAACATTAAATAACAAAGAGCAATAACGTTAACGTTAGTTAATACAAATACAGCTGTCTGTCCATTGTTAGTTCATGTAACCTAACCTCAGGACCACTACATAATATTAACAGATAGAACTTTTGATTTTAATAATGTTTCAGAAGACTACGTTACAATTAACATTAACTAAGATAAATACATGCTTTATAATTTTCATTGTTAGTTCATATTAGCCAAAGCAGTTAACTAATGTTAACAAATGGAACTTGTATTGTAAAATGTTCTTTAAAAAAATCGTTAATGGCACCGTTAATGAACTGGAATCCTTAGAGGAATCAAAATGAAACCAAACCAAATCATTCCCACAATTCACACTCGCAATAGCCACGTTTTAATGAGAATTAAATAAGACAATGATCTGCGTTTATGAAAGAGAGAGAAAAACACCAAAATGTAGACAAACGTATTGAGACCAAATGTATCTCTTGAGTTAAAATGATCAGTTGCGACTTAAATGCTAAAGTGCATTTAAACATGACCTAGACCCAGTGAACTACCCGGCGGCGTGACGTCACACACCGTAAAACCTACGAACTCTGTCGACCAAACTAAAAATCTCCTGCTGGACGACAAAAGCAGCCTCTGCTCCATATAGAAGCGCATATGAAAATAGCGGAGTTCAGGCAAATCACGAGGTAAATGCTAATTAGCAGCATTCCCAGCCACTGGCGCCCCAACTTTTCCTTTCCTTACACAGGCGAGCTCTAGAAAACCGAACCGTGGCGTGCAGTAGTTGAGCAAAGAGCTGACTCACTAATCTCAGCCCGCACAGAAACGAAACGCGGTGACTGTCAAATAACAACGCGCGTTTATACTTTCGACAGAACGCGCCCGCGAACGACACCGTGTTGCTTTTAGCGGCTGGCTTTAGAACTGTTACAGTCCAGCTCGCTACAATGTAACACAAGCATTCCAGTGGAACTCCATTCACACGCTACAAATGTAACCGCTATGCCCGCTAAAAGTTAAAATACCACTGAATATCGTTCCACGGATGGACTCGCCTTCCTCGCAGTCAAATGGAGGCTCGCAGGCTAAAGCTAGCCAGGCAAACAAGAGGGGGGAGCTGGCTAAACTTAATCGCTCAAATGCGAGCAGCGCGGGCGAATCAAGTAAATCTTGCGACACAACTGAAATGTTAAAACCGTAACAGCCGTGCATCCGCTTCAAGGTCGCTCAAAGCGATTTGTTTGCACAGCGACAACAGGCAAAACACAACTCTCTAACTCTGCAAAGTGGCCAGGCTGAAATAGCGAGTGTAGCTGGTTTAGCAAGCTAATGCAGGATACCGCCGCCGCGGAACTGTGATTGGATCCTGCAGCGAGTGTGTAAAAATCGCGTTACAAAGCCACCCCAAACCGCCATTCACTGTCAAACATTCACCATTTGCAACCACATCGGACTTACAGTGTTTTGTTTCCTCTTAAATCCTGTACGTTACGTCCAGCTCTGACCTTCTGGTTGGTGAAACAGCATTATAGTTAACTGCCGCCGCCATGTTCCTGCTGCCGTATGCCTGACGATGGCTGGCTGCTTGTTTATCTCGCCAGCAAAACCTCCCCCACATACTACGGGCACCAGTATCTACTCGTTTACTCTGGCCTGCATAGCAACCTTGCAGTGGACAACTGATGATACAGCAAACATAAGGACCAGGCTCGCCCGTTGGATTGAGTTTTCTGTGTCTTTGTGTTTTTAAACTGCAAGTAGATGTTTCATAATATTATAGGAGTGAATCAAAACTGTGTTGAAAAGCCAGTTTACATAGCACTTTGCGAAAGCTTTCGCCTTTAAAGTGGTGCCGTGGGAGAAAAAAAGTGTGCCAGAGTGGTCAGGTTACGAGCCGGTGTTGTTGTTATTCCAAACCCAAAGCAATCTGCACTCTATTATCAATGTCATAACAGCTTGATTAGAAATCACATTAGATGGCCCACATGAAACTGTTTTCCAGACCTCCATAAATCACATCCAGCATGCTATGATTTCAGGGTTCTTTATATACATTTAATCTACACTTCTTATCAAATAAAAACTTTTTGACAAAACACCAACATCAGAACCTTTTCAACCAAGTTCAGGCCTTGACAACATAAGAGAAAATTCAGTAGTGTTTGGGTCTGAGAATAGCAGAGGCCAATTTAAATCCAATTTTAGTTACTAATAAAATAATTTTAATAACCAATTTTGTTTCGCAAGTCTCAAGACATTATTGTATCTGAAAGAGATTCAAGTCTTCTATGTACTGAAAAAGTATCAATATATATATATATATTCATTTTGTCACATCACTATATGGAATATGTTATCATATATAGCCTAATAATAAAAGCAATATAAATTAATCTTTTGTATTTATTTTATTTATAAGTCAAGACCTATGTTCTCGATTATGAGTCCACATCTCTAGACGTCATTTAAAGATATAGAACACGTCTCGGTCATAACATCTGTGAAATACAATGGGAAGAAGCCCCTATAAGGGTTTTTCAATAGACAAGTACTCCACCATGTCTCATAACGGTATTGAGTTAGGCTATCAAATACACAAACATTTCTCACTTTTCTCCCAGAATACAAGCCTCAGATGGCCACGAGCTCAGTGACTGTTTGATCGGGCAGGAAGCCAAAGCTTACCGTGATTACTCAGCAGCAATAAACCCCAAATGTGTCAGGTATCCGATCAAAACCCACACGGCGACAGGTTGATTTCCTATATAAAAATACTTCCATGTGAACGCAAGCCAGCGAGCGAGATGAAGTATGGGCGAATCGAATCGAAACGAATCCTACAGTTGCAACCCGAGTCGATTAAAGGTCTGCAGCGAATGTAACTTCTCTCAAAGGGAAATCTGCAAACAGTGACTTACGCAATATTCGCTGTTCACACTCTTTCAGATTGGCACGCGCTTGACAACAATTGTGAAACAGCACGGGGGTTATCGCAACGAAACGTCCCGACGAAAGAGACTGCACTATCTGTTCAGGAAAGCATGAATAGATATGCTGTTATTTTGGTTTCATATTTTATACTTTTGCTAATGGAAAATAGCCCCCCAACATCCGCGCAGAGTGATTTGCAAAACCAATAAATATCGCTGTGCTTAAGAAAAATCTTGGCGAACAGCGCCACTACATGATCAACACCAACATTTGAAAGAAAATGACCTCTTGAAGCAAAATGAAATAAAACCAAGTTTTCAGCATGCCTTTTTACTGCATTTCATTTGAGAATTACGTATTAAGTTATTAAAAATGTATAAAAACTACATTTTATACAACAAAATTTGTTGTAATATTATTAGGCTTAGGCCTATAAAAAAAAAAAAAAAACACGTTTTTTTTTCTATGCCATACGGAGGCTCGAACTGTTGCTATGGTTACTTCCAATCCTCACGAGACAGCGACTACTGTTCACGAGCGTTATTTATTTGGCACTTTCTGACCAACTCGGACTCGAAATTTACTGGTAACTGAAAAGCTGTTTGTTTGTTCGTTTTGAGCTGTTCACGCCCTTCAAACCCGTCATTTGAACCATGTCTTTCAATTAACGAATTTATACAAAAATAAAAAAAGCTCATTTTGACCGTCGTTTTCTAAAATGTAATAAAACAAATACAGACTCACTCATAGCCAATGCAGTGAAACGGGGCAATTACTGTGAAAATAACATTTTAATTAATGTATTCACTGGTTGTCTTCTCATCGGTTGTACTTGAGTAAAAGAAATGTGAGATAACAATGCTTTTTTATTGAACTTAATTCTCTATGGACTCTATGGTTCTTAAACCAAAACCCATCTACGAAAATGATGATATCTGAGATCTTTTCCTTAGATCCTGAGCAGTCTCACTGGAATGACACTTGTGATTTGACATTTTCATGTGTTATCAACACCATACAGCAGTCAGATTTGAAAAGTTCAAGAATAAAAGGTATAATCTTTTAACAAATCAAAAGCACAGTTTTTCTTCATTTTGTTAGTCATCCTTTGCTAAATTAACAATTTGTGGAGCATTATACTTTTTCCTTACCATGACCAATTACGCAGTACAGTGCAACAAATGAAATTCTTTAAAAAAAGGCATCAAATTAACATTTTTGCTTTTGTTTTTTTCTGATGAAAAAAAAAAATGTGACAACACGTTTATACAACAACACAAATGAAAAGACATTAGACATGGTTCCAAGTGCATAGGATAGAATCAACAAAAACTGTGAGCCTTCAGAGAACTTTAAATACAACCCTGATTTCAAACTCAAGTTAAAATACTGAATTAGTCCTCTCTGATCTGTCAAAACGATGCACAGTTAGGCACTTGTAAAAATAAGTTACATTTTCGCCACAGCTTTCATGTTTTATTTGTAGGTATGACTGGATCATAGATTTGGATTTGAAATGCAGCATTCAGCAAATAAAGCAAAGAGCATATGGACCTTCAGAATAAGGAAACAAATGTAGAGGACAATAAAAAGAACCCCTCCAAAATCCCCCAAATCCACTTTTCCTTAAGACCTTCTTGCAAAGAGACATAATAGTTGGATGGCTTCATGAAATACAGCATTCAGCATCCTACAGGATCAAGGAGCAGGATGACATGTTGCAAGTTTTTTTTTCCCCAGATAAACAAGAGGGGAAAGGGAAAAAAGGCTACAGACAAACTGCGGGACGGAGAGAAAAGATCAGGCTGAATGATTTAGTCAGGACAGAAGTTGGGACTTTATGATGACTTCTCCTTCCTCGCTCTGGGAGAATCTGCTCCACTGGCACCAACAGATCCATTCACACCATTGGCTGTGAAAATACAAATAAGAAGATGCTTGATGTAAGTGATTAGCAGTTCATTTTGTATTCTAGATACCTGAAGTGCTGTTACTACCGGTCAAAGGTTTGGAATAATCAAGATTTTTTTAATGTTTTTGAAATAAAAAGTCTCTTATACTCACCAAGGCTACATTTATTTGATCAAAAATACAGTAACAGCAATTAAAATTTTCTTTTAAATAATTACAAATTTAAAAGAGCTGTTTTCTATTTTAATATATTTCAAAATGTAATTTATTCTTGTGGTGGCAAAGCTGAATTTTCAGCGGCCATTACTCCAGCAATTACAACAGATCTTTTAAATAGGGGCAGTTGGGGCCTAATGGTTAGAGAGTCACAGAGACTTGTAACCCCAAAGGTTGTGGGTTCGAGTCTCAAAACCAGCAGGGAAATGTTGTAGGGGAAGTGACTGAACAGTGCTCTCTTCCACACTAGATACCCGCAACTGAGGTGCCCTTGAGCAAGGCACCTAAACCCCAATTGCTCCCCGGGCACCGCAGCAAAAATGGCTACCCACTGCTCCGGGTGTGTGTGTGTGTTTTCACAACTCACTGCTCCTAAAGGCCAATTCACACCATACAGACAAACGCCAACAAACACCAACAAACAAGTTGGCTATTAGATTTAGAATTTGATGAAAAATAACTCATGTTCACACTGCCCCAACAGACACCGACAAACTTCGCGCCATGACAGCTATAGGCTGTCTAGTTACACTGGACGCGACAAAACGACCGCTGCAAATCATTTGTACTTCAGTACATCACAAATAGAATGAGGCATCAGTTTACTGTTGGGGTTTTGTAGTGTCGCGCCGCACCGCATCCAGTGTAGACAGCATCACTGATTATAATAGGTTCTAGGGGTGGAACGGTTCGCTGAAAAAAATAGAACCGTACGGTTCTCCACACATGGTTTGGCACGCGCTAGGACTGCGGTTCAACTTAAAGGGGTCATATGATGCGATTTCAATTTTTCCTTTCTCTTTGGAGTGTTACAAGCTCTTGGTGCATAAAGAAGATCTGTAAAGTTGCAAAGACTAAAGTCTCAATTCCAAAGAGATATTCTTTATAAAAAAGTTAAGAGTCAACCATGCCTACCTAAAACGGCTCGTTCTAACACGCCCCCACATGTCTACGTCACGATGTGGGAACATTTGCATAACGCCGCCCAAATGTTCACGCAAATAAAGGCGTATTTTAATAAAAAGATTCTTACATATTGTGCCTTTAAATGTAGATTCTAGATGTGCTTGATGTTAAAAAGTGTTAAGTGCAATAAGCCACAAAAAAAAAGAACTCAGTACAGTACTTGCGCTGACTTGCATACACCCAAAGCATGCACAATCTCTCAGACAGCATACGATCCAGAATTCAGTTGTGTTTATTGGCTTATTGCACTTCGATGGTCAAATACACACAAAATTGTCAAAATGCCATTTTGGCGAGTATTCATGTAAACGCTTATGTCTTATGTAAACAGTTGAAATCAAATGCATGTCAGTTTATTGGTAAAATAAAGTGACAGCAGCCTCTAAAATGACTCATATCATCAGTCATATCGCCCACCCCTAACTGGAACATTAGAATAGCGTGTGGTGTTTAACTAAAGTGTACACTGATCTTAAGTGGGCAATACTGACCTTTCTTTGATTTGCTCTTAGAAGAGGACGGTTTTTTCTTTAAGGTCTGAGTCTGTGCATGTTCTCTCCATTGTCGCAGCTGGAAGTTGATAAATTTCCACATCATA